CCAATCGTGAACATTTGTTAAGTACGTATTTCATTACAAAAATTTGTACTTGCCAGCGGGACTCGAACACCGGTGCTTCGCTATTTTTTATTTTTTGATTGCTTAGATGAGTGGACTAGCTCACAGCGCACCTGATGTTAAGTGGTTACTGGAGCCATAGACATCTACAACGTAAATGCGCCGCCCACCTTGAGATATAAGTTCTAAGGTCTCATGTATAGTTACAACGGTTGCCCCACCCTTCAAGCCGAAACGCATTACTGTTTCACGGCAGAAATAGGCAGGGCGGTGATACCTACCCGTGCGGACTCACAAGAGGTCCTACCACCATTAACTAGATACGAATGCACCGGAAGTCTTATATTTTAGGCCACGACGACTCCTATTCGCTTTTTCTATCTAATCTCTGGTAGATTAAGAGGCTGTTCCAGCTACGCCTGGACGGGTAGGTGAGCTCACGGGCTCAACCTGAGAGAATTTGCTAACACTAGCCTTAGTGATAGCGGTGCTTCGCAGAGTCTACCACTGGATCGGAATCGCGGCCCATTGAAAAGATCCAGCGAGAAACTCAGTGAGCTAGTATCCTTATTAAACGAGCAAAAGTTCACAAATTCCGCACTTAGCTCCAACAAACACCCATTTTAATTCAAAGTCCAAACAAATGCACTCCCATAACGTCACACAACGGATGCCTTTGTTTGCAATACTGCATACAGGCGATAGACAGAGCGGGTCTATTGTGCACGGTCCATTTACTGAGCTCCAAGCATACCAGAGATTCTGTTGCAAACACGAGACCGATAATAAATCCTTCGGGTGTTTTATTTTTACGCTAAATAATCTAATCTGATCCTTGGAAGAAATCCGCGTTCCGACATTACAGATAAGACAGTAATAGAATAGAGAGATAGAGGGAGAGAGAATATTCTTTGTCACGGAACGTAGCCTTTGAAATCTAAGTCTGGCAACACGGTCTTTTAAATAAAGACTTGCCAAAAATCTGTGAAAGGAATCGGTTGTAACTTTTAAGTTTTATTTAATTTTAATATTGTAAATGTACTAAATAAACGGACATACGGAAGGAAACTTCGTATTAATCATAAGCAAGTATTTTCCCTCAAGATCCGTCACATTCTTTGTATTCTTTATTGTACAAAAAATTTAATAAATAAAAAATCGTGATATCTTGGTAACTGACTCGATGGTGCAGTAGTTGCGCTCTGAGTGTTACGCCAAGGGTCATTGATTCGATTCCCACATCGGGCTCCTTGTTTGGATGTTTATTTTCTATATATGTATATATTCAAATATACATACCTATGGTATCCATAACACATAGAATCTTAAATACGGGCCGGATGACCGTGCGTGATTTTTACCAGTTGTTTATTATTATAAATATTACTATCTATAATATATTCATTTAAAATCTTATTAATTACGCGATGTTTTTAAAAAGAGGTATTAAAGATACAATTTAAAAAAAAAACACATAAAAATAGATTGCCGCTGATGGCAGTGTCTACGACACAAGCGCCAGTAGTTAGGACTCCAGAGTGAGAAAGTTCCTGACAATACGCGCCGAATTGAGGATAAATGCCCTCTATATATTATTGAATCTATCTATATTATTGAAAGTGGACGTTGGAATTAAGATGTATTCCACCAAGAAAAAAAATACACGTGTGGCACTCGGGGATTGCCGCGGCAAAGCTATTGCATAGCATGTTTTATCAATTTATGCAATTATAATTAGAAAATCATAGTTTAATATTAAAACAATAATAAAATAAGACCGCGCTATATTTATAAACATTAACTAAAGCAAAACATGAACTGTCCCCTTCACACTCATAAGTTAGACGAAAGAGAGATGGGCAGACTTTTCATGATACGCACGCAGTGCGACGTCACGCCGCTTATTCGCAAACACTACACAACCGCAACGTGGGAATGTGCTGAACGCGAGCTACATGGTAGGCGGAGTGGGGGTGCTAGGTTTTATTTACGTTACGGAATTTCTGGATTCGGTCGCCGCGCTCAAAGCAACAAAATAATAATAATAAAAAAATGAAACTTCAAAAGAATACATTACCTTCGTTTTCAGTATTTGATCCTGTAGATTAATCTTGCTTGTAAAATTAAATACTCAGTTTCTCGGGGAACGAGCGCTACACCGTATTAATTACGAGAATGATGACTTGGCATATTTTATGACGTGGAAAGAAATTTTCCGCGGAATTCGCTCGAATTAAATTATTATCTCGAAACTTCAGTTGGTTGAATTAGCCGTACGCAATTAAGGGAGTTGCTAATAAACGTTTTGAACGAAACTCTATAATTGAAATTTTCTTGGGAACTTGAGATTTCAAATGAATTAGATATACAAGATAAATATATTGCTTAGATCGATAGACGAGCTCATAGCCCACCTGGTGGTTACCGGAGCCCATTGACAGCGGTCTTCCCCAACAACTGCGATATTGGGTTATTCAAGAAAAGAGCATATTCTTATCTGAAGGTTAGGCAACTACTGGCGTAAACGCTGGTGGCCGTGGGCGGCGGTGAATCACTTACCATCAGGTGACCCGTCTTGCTCGTTTGCCTCTTAGTTGTTATAAAAAAAAAGACATCTATAACGTAAATTCCGCCACCTACATTGAGATATGAATTCTAAGGTTTTTTCTAAGGCCTTTACAGTAATTTATCATTTGTAACACAAACACTTTGATAAGACAACGTCTTATCAAAAGACAACATCTAAAAAAAAAATAATCAAATGATCGATTCCTTACAAAGGCAATAAAAAAACATAATAATGGTACCAACCTCTGTATTTCTGTATCGTCAACTTAATTTTAATCTAGCATTATACTTAAAGCAACTAAATATTACTTTTGGTAATAACAGCAGTCGCAAATGAAAAATATCCCTTATCACCTTACAAATAAGCCACAAATTTCAGCAATGTCGTGGAAGTTTTATATTAAAATGACTTTCTTGATTACATTTACCGGCTCTCGGCTGCCGTCGCAATCTACTTTGTTGTCTAACTTCATTGAATACTGAGATAAATTAAAATTTAATTTTTCCATCCATTTAATATTGGTTAGAGATTAATGTGAAGAAGAATAGACTTCGAGAGTCTAAGAGAGAAAGAGAGAGAGATAAATAACTTCTCGTATTGTGAACAATCATGCGCTTCAGCTTGAAGGGGAAGTCGGCAGAGTTTAGGGCAATTCTAAACATGAAGTTTTGTATGACTGTTTTTTGAATGTTGAAACATAATAATAATTGTGGCAATACAGTCAATTTAAGTCAATCAAAAATTCTGGTCGTACGTGCACGTGTTGTAACTACATTATAACAAAATAAAAATAACCTTCTCTCTGAATATATCTAATTATTGAAGCGACCAATACAGATTACAGTCCACGCTCTACACAATATTTACAGTGGAGACTTCGATCGTATCTCAAAAAAGATATAAATTTATACGTAAGACAGCCATTTGGCTCCACCCCTGGCATTGCTGACGTCCATGAGCGACGGTAACGACTCATGATCAGAAGGGCCGTCTGCTCGTCTGACTACACGGGCAATAAACAAAAAAAAAGATGACATTAAGATTAACAATGACCTCTATCAGTCACTCAATGCCAAGAAATACAAAGAACAAGATGGCCGGTGTACTTGGATCGAGCTACGTAGCTTATCCGTGTTCAAATCCCAAAAGCAGGTACGTTTTTTCCCTACCTATTCACTGGTAGCCTAAGAGGCTATTGCAGCTACGCGCAGTAGGTGAGCTTAACATTAGAGAATTTGCTAACACTAGCCCTAGCATAAGATCGGGTTCAGTGGCGAGCTTTGGGGGAGGCCTATGTCCAGCAGTGGACTGCCGCAGGCTGATGATGATGATGATGAGCCCTAGCAAGCGCAGTGCTTCGCAGAATCTACCACTGAAACGAAATCGCGACCCACTGAGAAGATTCGGCGAGAAACTCAGAGGGCGTCAACGAATTTAACTGTTATTTTTATTCTTGCTTAGAAGGAAGAATCAGTTCAAAGCACACCTGGTTTACCAAAGTAGTTACCAAAGCTCACAGATATCATGATATTTTTCTCAGTTGTATAGAAGTTTGCTTACTCTGTAGTGTAGTAAAGAAAAACATATTTCTTATTTATTTATTAGATAGCTTCCAGTACATCTAAGAAAAGCATGTTTGAAAAACACCATGATTCTATACATATATGTTCCGAAAATGTAGTAAGTATCGTGTAAATAATTCACATAACGAGTATTATTGTAAATAGTATAATAGTATTCTGGTAATATATTGTTATTTATGAACAAATTAAAATTACAAATTGAAAAGAAACTTTTTAAATTAAATTTAATTTGCACCATTTTCAGTTTGTCTATATCTTCGGCTACGACTAGAATTTTTTTTAATAAACAGAGACAAATTACCGCCCCTGTCCTGGCCTAAATCTAGGACACAATGTACTATTAAAACCATAGATGTTCAAATATATTAAATACTGAAATTAAGCACTCAGATAAAGAGCAAACATACGATTTTGTCACACACACACACACACACACACACACACACACACGCGTCTTTCTAAAATTTCTGGGTCAATACATAATTAACTCTAATATTAAAGTGGTGATATAGGCATATTCAGTACATCTAAAGTAATTGCAATGTGATTTTTTTTAATCTAACTCATGGATGTATTCCGAGTGCATCTTATACATATTATCTATCTATATATATAAAAATGAATTGCTGTTCGTTAGTCTCGCTAAAGCTCGAGAACGGCTGGACCGATTTAGCTAATTTTGGTTTAGAATTATTTGTGCAAGTCCAGAGAAGGTTTAAAAGGTAGATAAATATGAAAATGCTCGGAATTCAATCAAAATAACAATTTTGTTTTTCCTTCGATGTGTCCCCAGTCGGACGGATTCCTTTTGTTTGTTTTAAATTTATTTTATACAAAAGTTTAGGTCTTTCATTTATCGATTGAAGCACTACGAAGTCTGTCGGGTCAGCTAGTTTTGAATAAAAACTTAATAATATTTCTCTTCGCTCGAGTTCAGACAAGATTATCTTCTTTTTTGCTGAGTAGAGTGTAATAGCTGTATGAGCCTTTCAAAATCTGAAATAGAAAAGTCTGGTTTTATATCCTGAACGTAAAAGTAAATCTGTATTTTGACGCGACAGTATCCAGAGTTGTATAAAGTTATACGATCGATTGTCTAGAATTTGAATAAGCCTGAGGACTTACCTTTAGCCCGGGAATAGTACTAAAGACTTGAATAGTAAATGAGAAAGGGGTCTTTGGTTTTATTTTGAATTTGATCCTGAATTTTGGGATCAGGTTCGGTTTTTGGAATATATGTTATACGGCACGAGGAACAAAGAATCGTCCTGATTTGGAAAATACCTGATCATGATGGATCATTATAAAGGCACTTAGTATTATGGGCTTATCAAATGGAATCCTCTAATACGTAATGCTTAATTAAACACAGCAATATTAATATTCTGTATATATGCATATAAGTTGTAAATACAGTAAATAAGTTAGCAATGAAAATAAGTGTGATAAGATTGTAATTGCAAAACAAATAAATACAAAATATGATGCAATTGTAAAAGATGATGCAACAGCATTGAACACATGAATAGATGAAGAGGTAAGGTATAATTTGTTAATTTTGAGAAAACAGGCAACAAGCTTTTGTTATTTATTTTTGAGATACTATGCGTTTATCGCTGTTATTGTTATTATTTTAAACGTGAAATTAAAATATTTCCTTTTTTTTACCAATATGGAGGATATTATTGTTTGGAATCATTTAAAATTAAAGAATACGTTAAGTGCCCATGTCACTTTTATTTAATGTGATAATATTCTTTTTTTGGTACATAACTCCTTCATCACATGCAATTTATAAAAATATCCTTTTAAGCCCAGAGTTTTAAGGTCTAATATGGCTTAAAGGCACATAACACCTTCATTCAAAAATTCAAAAGCCTTAAAAATGGTACTTAGCCCCTTCATCCACTCGTGTCTTCAATTGTAGTTCCTCAATTTTCTTTTCAACAGTACCAAAAAGTACTTACGGCAACAAAAGTGGAAACTGTTAAATCAGTGAAAGGGCCGGCGCTGAAGACAACGGTTCTACGGAGTTGTCCAGCCAGGAGCAGCATGCTTCGTCTCACACGATGACCTTGCGACCACCAATTGCTCGAGTAGACCGCGTCATCCACTTCCGCACTCTATGAGTATAAAAAAAGAATCGGTTGTCTGTAAAGTCGGCTTACTGACGATAGTTGAACGTGATAACGTCATAAGAAAATACTGATGGAATGGTTTCATTTTTCAAAAGATAATTTTAATTTTATTTGTTTGATAGATATTTTGTATGGATATAGAGAAGGAGGTAAATGGAAATCACTATTGAATTGATCAAGTTACATTTATTTGTATGCATAAATACAATTACATGTGTCAATTATTATTTTTGACAATGTACATAGTTTTTTCATTACACATTAAATGTATTATTGTATAGCAGCTGTCCACGTGGATGCATCGCTCACTCAAGTAGGAGAGAGACAGATGTCGAACGCTGCCGAACGCGGAGGCCGATTGTGCCTCTTTGTCGCTCGTTGCGCGCTCTCGCTTGCACTTCAAGCCTTAAATGGAACGCCTCATAGCGAGGTAACGCCGCATAAGTCATGTTTTTGACGTTGTCACGTCAAAAAGCAACAGTTTATTAACCCACATACGTGAAGAATCTTCGAACTGTGTTTTCCTTTGCTTTACAGCAGCGACAAATTTTGGAAAACAATTTTGATGACCTTAAAAGCGAATGGCAAAATATCAAAAGGCCATTGCCTCATGTGACGGTCTATACTTATTATTCCAATTACGAAGTCCCATGAGACAGATGTTATTATTATGTTATTGTATGTGTTAATTAATTGTATAATGATTTAGATTGATTGTGTACTTTTTAAATTATGTTTTCGACCATGAACAAAATATTTTTATTCTTTCAAATTATGCGAAACGTGAAGAGTTACGTTCTAAGGAGTGTCAAAAGGGACTTTGTAATTGGAATATAGTATAATTAAGCTCACGTTAGAGCTAATTACGTTGTTCATGATACTGAAGACAGAGCAAATTGATAAGTTATGATTCTTAGTACTGAGGATATACCAAGCAAGGGGACGATATAGATAAACAAAAAGTCGGCTATAGCCCCAGGCCAAATGTGTATATTAGTTAACGGCTGTATTGAAATTTCTATGGAACATATTTTTGCTAACGCTTTTGCCGTGTCTGTGTATCGTGTATAATCTATGCTTAGCTAATTAATCTGTAATTCAATTTTAGCTAACTAATCTATAAATTTAACCTAATCTGTATCTAAATACTTCTGTTCCTATCAAATTTAACGAGGGAAACATTCCCGCTTATTTACTTTATCTTTTTACTAAAATCTGTATCATCAGATACAATTTTATTAAATTATGTATTGTATATGCAACAATATTATATCAACAATATTATAAACAGATTCAAAACTATATACATTTATATAATAAATAAAAAGACGAGTTTAACCCATTCGTGAACTTTTTTCTAGCAAAAAGTGGTAAAAACAAAAAAGTTTATTAAATTATGTAATGTCTTAACATAAATTTTATTGATCTTATATTATATACACTTTATACACAATATACCAGTCTTATCGGTAATACAGTAACAATTTTACCCAAGACGCACTGCATACGGACAAGAATATAAATTCTATAGTGATGGGAAATGAAGAATAGAATAGAGAAGATAAATGATCTGGCAATTTGGAATTTCTGTGAATCAGCAACTACATTTTCTTGTCTAGAATTCAGATAAGAGGGTGTACCCTAAAATACCCTAGAATTGAATGAAGCTACATTTTACACTGGAACACACACAAATCAAAATGTATGTGTGCCTGGCAGTATCTACAGTACCAAACCTTTCATATCTTATATACAGGGTGCCCCAAAAAGAATATAAAATCCTGAAACACCTCATAGTAGAGCTATTTATTGGAGAAACAAAAAAGAAAAAAAAAGCAGAATGTTATAACACCAAAAACCCTATGGATTTCATATTATGTTTGTAGCTGTTGTATAAACGCGCACTAGTATGGAAAATAATGTTTTTTTTTTTAATACGTAATTGGGGTACTACCCAAGAATTTTTTTTTTTTTTAGTCCCCAATTGCTCTACTATGAGGTGTTCCAGGATTATCCATTCTTTCTGGGACACCCTGTATAGGTAAATATATTTTTTTTTAATATCATCATCATCACTATTCATGCATTTATCAAAATATAACACAACGAAAGCGCTGCAAAATACATACGTGGCTCAAAGCATTTTAGATCCAAATAATTTCCCTTTGACGCGAAAGTTTAAATTGCCATGCAGGAATTTGAAGATACACACATACCATATATAGAACCTGGTTGCTGTGCCAACAGTACAGGAAAAGCTGCGCTATTAAAGCCATAAGGTATTCAGAAATCCAAATACGCTGCATGTTTGAAGTTCCGTCCTGTGAATAGAAATTCACTTTTGAATCAAAATTCTACGTAACTCTAAAACTTTGAATCTAAATAGATAGAGCTATGGAATTTTATAAAAATATAGCTAAAATGAATTTTCTAAACGATTCCTTTGCTCTTAATTCTTGGGGTAGGACGTATCATATTTAAGATCATATTGTTATTCTTTGAGAGCGATCTAAAACAATACATTACCGTCGTCAATTGCACAGCACTCGCACAAAGCATGAGCGAACATATTATAACGTATAAAAACAAGACTGGTGACATCAGTGAGTTAAAAATTGTGGAAAACCTGAAATTTAACATTGAATTGTTATTACACAAATAGTCACAGTAATATTAAAAAAATATATTGGACAATCATTTAATAAAACTAAATAAAAAAAACAAAAATTTTATTGCTCTAAATGAGCAGACGGATTGACGTCCTATCTACACAAGTAAAGGGGTTAGCCAATCTCATAGATATTATTACGCAAAAGCTATACCCGCTCAAGTCATAGAAGTTTTGATTTTATTATACGTATAAGACTATAATCTCTTAAGACTTGGACACATGAAAGTTTTAAGAAAAGACGATGACCACGTACTAAGAAATGGCTGCCTGTCTTCTAAGGCAATAATAATAAATGCATATCGTTTCAGATTGGTAGTTAGATTAATTATTTATGTATATTATTGTTTGTTCAATATAAAAATACAAACATAGAAGTCCAAAAAAAAGTACAAAACACTATAAAAAAATCAAAGATCTTGACGGAAACAAAAAAAGAACTACGGGTGATGTGACGAGTAATTAAACAGGCGGAAATGTTTTAGTTTCAGATAACGCGCGAGTTTATTAATAAAATAAAATTCAATACGCTAACCTCACTAAATACACGTGGTGATAATGGCATTCCTTAATTCTCTTCATGGCTTCATTGTTACTAATGATCTCATTACCATCATCGAACAATCTCGAACAGTTTATAGATAAAAGCTTCATTTGTCCAGCGAAAAACGTCATTAAAACAACCGCGTTAGAGTCGTAGTTCGCAACCACACCGCCTCCGTAGAAACAGATCAAAGTGTGCACTAAAGCCGTTACCCAATAACCGAAGCCTCTCGATCTATCGAACGGTACCCATGAGCTCATTATTTCAGGATATGGTAAAGTACCGTTCGCTATCAATTCACGTTCTGGTGACGACAAAAAACCAACCAGTGGCGCTAAAATCACTGTAAAAACAGTGGCTGTGACCAAACTCCAATAAAAATAGGTGACCCGGCGTGAATATTTGATGTACTTGACGATAGCGGCCTGCGTGGCGGCATCATTTTTCGACAGTTGCTCCTTTTCTAAATTGGAGACGAATCCGATAATGCCGCTCCAATATTTTTGCCAGCAGACAAAAGTACCGGCTTTTACGACGCAAACGGTACTAAGCATCGTGACAGAGAGGTTCCTCAATGCTAACTCGACGTTATTCCGGATAATCCAAAGCTCCACGTATTGGGTGATCACGAAAAACGTAGCGAATGCGTGAATTGAATTGTACAAAATCCGTTTAATCCCGCCCGATTGCCACATACCCCAATATTTTAGACCCTTTAGAGTCGGACCTAACGATGGATAATCGGGATTTTCCAAATGCGGCAGAAAAAAAGAACTGGGCATTTTCAAAGCACGTGTAACGCGGGTGCTGTTTCACTGAATACAAATTATCTTTCGTTCAGAACTATATTTTGCTTAAATTATGTAAGAACACGATTTGTTTTTGTGTTACCATGTCATGTCTGTATTTGCAGTTGTATGTACAATAGAGAGAAAAATTACTACGAGATTTGTTCGTATTAACGAATATTGGATATTAAATTTACTCTTTCACTAGCATAAAAATGTTTTGAATCTGTAATTATTGTTTGTTGTAAGTGCCAATTGTATTGTAGAGCTAGTAAGTCAGTTTTTCTACTTTTTATGTTTCTACACTAATAATAAAGTTATTATTTAAAGTCTGTAACATATTTGATTATGCTGAGATTTTTCATACAGAAAGGAGGGCAAGCATGACTACACAATGATAAATAGGTTTTAATGTTTCGGAAAGAACATTCTCCATAAATAAAGATTATTTTGAGCGATAGTTAGACAAACACATGTTAGGTCCGTTTGCCACTGGGTCGAAGCTAATCATATATAATAATACTATAGAAAGTCAACTATATTTTTACTGATGGTACAATTTTTTGTGAATCCGCAAAGGTAAATATCACCGCCCTATCTATTTCTGACGTGAAGCAGTAATGTGTTTTGGTTTGAAGGAAAAGAGTAGGAAAATTTAAGTTTTAGTGGGTACCGGAAACCATAGTCATCACAACGCAAATGTTGCCACCTAGATTGAGGTGCGAGTTTGAAACATCGATGCTTAGATATAAACAAAATCGATACATCGATGGATTGATGAGTAATTAATCAATTGATTTAGTTTCACACATTCTAACACCGAGCATTTCGTTATCCATCATTCATTAATTTATCTTTTTACCATTTATAATTTACCATTACCATTTATAACTTACCATTTTACCATTTACGGTTAGTCATTTGACTATTTGTCTTCTTTTTTCTACATTTAATTTTACGTAAGTACTTTTTAGTTCAGGTATCAAATTTGCTTAATTCATTACATAGACGGATGAACCCAATATCTAGCCCGGTGACGCTGACATGGTCTCTCTAGATTCTAGACCATCAGCTTAAGTAGAAAAAAAAATCCTCTACCGACTCAGCTGATGCTACGCGGTTACTGTAAACCATGTGAAAGACCTCATTAACCTTGAGACAACAGATATACATGTCATGTATATTACGAGTGTTACTGTACGGGTTTCTCACCCTTAAAATTGGAATATGAATGTGAACATAGGTACGTATTGATTTGTAATAGTAACATACAAGATGCATCTTCTTTTTCTCCACCTTATCCCACTAGGTTGGGTCGGCACAGCTAATTTTTCTCTTCCATTCTCTTCTATCAGCCGTCATCTCAACACTCACTCCTCTCTCTCTCATATCGTCATTCACACATTCCATCCATGTCTTCTTCGGTCGACCTCTTCCCCCTGTACCTTGCACTACCATTTCCATACATCTCCAAGATGCATGACGTAATTAATTACTCGTGCGTGCTTACAATACGCCATAAAACCAATAAAACTGAATGTTCACAAAAATAGTGGGAATGTTAGATGTTTATTGACATAAATGTTACTAATTAGATTTTTATCGTATATATCAATACTTTTGTAATTGATGTCATCATCCCTACCCGTGTACCCAAGCAAGTTAAAGTTACTTCCTACAACAAGTATGTTTGAGAGACACGGTGAATTCACAACGAATTGTTCAAGATTTTATAACCCCATCACGGGCAGTTTCATTCTTCCTAGATTATCTATCGTTAGTAGATACTTGAATACCGAGTTAAATACCATCTATTTTAAAACGAAAAATCAAAAACCGTAAAACTATCTTTAATGATATCTACGACCAACAAAAATCGAAGTAAATACTATATTACAGGTGTTCATAAAATCATAATTGTATTTGCTTACAAATTGCTGTCAGTTAAGTGGGTGGACGTATTGTCAAAATGTGTCCGTTAAAATGACACATTTCAGTTACAAATAACACAATAATGTGTAACCATGACACCATGATTGTATGTTTAATGTTTGGGAAACTTTGGATTTTTATTTTTGGTAGGTACGAATTTGCAAAATTATTGCTTTTTGAATTGTAGTCTTTACGTTTTTTTTTTTTTTATTGCTTCTATTGGTGGACGAGCTCACAGCCCACCTGGTGTTAAATGGTTACTGGAGCCCATAGACATCCACAACGTAAATGCGCCACCGACCTTGAGATACAAGTTCTAAGGTCTCAAGTATAGTTACAACGGCAGCCCCACCCTTCAAACCGAAACGCATTACTGCTTCACGGCAGAAATAGGCAGGGTGGTGGTACCCACCCGCGCAGACTTACCAGAGGTCCTTCCATCAGTAATTACGCAAACTCGTGGCAATCCCTCCCCCCCCGCGTCCGTCGCCGCGTATTTCAACCGTGCCTCGGAGGCACGCCGCGCGCCCCCCGCCGCGTTAAGTTCGAGCGCACGTTCCGACGATGCGACTCACGAAGCGCCTAGCGCTACCCCCACCCCCGCGCCCGCGTCGATTACGTCATCGCTCGTATCGTCCGTCGCGACCTCCGTAGTCTCAAGTTCAGGCTCCGATACGGAATCAGAGATGGACTTTGAATCCGCGTCCAGCCCTCAGCCCGGAACCTCGGATGGTTTCCNAACTCATAGACACAGCCCACTGAGTTTCTCGCCGGATCTTCTCAGTGGGTCGCGTTTCCGATCCGGTGGTAGATTCTGCGAAGCACTGCTCTTGCTAGGGTCAGTGTTAGCAACTCTCCGGTTGAGCCCCGCGAGCTCACCTACTAACGTTAGGGCGAAGCTGAAATAGCCTCTCAAGGCTATCAGCATAGGTAGGGAAAATAAAATTACGCAAATTATAATTTTGTGGGTTTCATTTTTATTACACGATGTTATTCCTTTACCGTGGAAGTCAATCGTGAACATTTATTTAGTACGTATTTCATTAGAAAAATTGGTACCCGCCTGCGGGATTCGAACACTGGTGCATCGCTTTGACACGAATGCACCGGACGTCTTATCCTTTAGGCCACGACGACGATGCTAGAATTTGTTTTGTTAAGCAATCTAAACATCAAACTCCGAAACCAAAATATACATAATAGTAATAAATATAAAAATAGTAAGTAAATGTTATATATATGCGACTTTTAAAAGGGAAAATATGTATTTCAATACTCAACAAAGTAAATCTTTTTTTATTGCCCTTGTAGGCAGATGAGCATACGGCCTGATGGTGAGTGGTTACCGTCACCCATGGACTTCAGCAATGCCAGGGGCAGAGCCAAGCCGCTGCCTACAAAATAAGACAGAATAAGGTTACGAAACAATAAACTTCAAATTAAGTCATATAAAAACATTCCTAAAGAGCATATTGTGAGGGCAATAAAATAATCACAAAGATCAGTTTTAACATTTAATGTGACCATAAGAAACTAAGGTTTTTATATTTTTGTTAATTCATAGTGCTTTAAATTTTATATTTTATTTTAAAAGATTAGCTTAAGTTCTTCAAACTACTCGCTGTCTTGCATTTGCGAGAACAATGTGTAGAAACTGTACGTTCCTTTCATAATCTGTAAAGAGCCAGAGAACAATTACTAATACAAGTGTAAAGTCAAGTTTTTAATGGTGTAATAAAATTAAACGAGGAAATGAAATGGCCAATATGCGGAAGCTAACCTTAATACAATACTTGAGACGGCAACTGCAATAATGTGTTATCTTACGTCTTAATGCAGGTGGCGGAATTCACATATTGGTTTCTATTGATTTAGGTAACTACTCAAAAACAGGTAATACGCGATCTCCTCTGCCTATTTATACCAATAAAACTGAAAACATAAGCCTAATCTTGCTATCAAAGACACAAGCTGATGAACTGCTCACAGACTACCAATAAATAAGATCATGAAAAAAATATTCCCAATGTTAGACATGCCGCATTTAGTCTAAGATTTTTTCAACCAACAGCCTTCCCAAAATCAAAGGGTATGTTGTGGATTATTATAACAAAACCGTTGAAAGTAGAAAATAACGTAGCGATAATACATGAGCTAAAAGAAGATAATAATGAAGAAGTAATAGCAGAAAGTCAAAGTAGGTAAGATAAATCTGCTAATAATAAGCAAAAACTAAGAAAAACAAACGAAACTCACAGTTATAAACGTAGGAATGGACAATGACGCATATGGACCTGCGTTCAAAATTAACGTTTGTGACAATTTCCCGGCTAATAACAGAATTTGGCGTCGAAGAAATACATCTCCTTTCGTCCAATCGCTTTCGTAAACGCCTCTATCTAGGTCTCTGGTCTAAAAACAATAAGTTTACGTTTGAAGTCTATATACTCGGTGCTGTCGCTGGCGTCGCGACCTTGAATCCCAAAAACAGTTCGAGCTTGTTGTTGTGCACTCGTAACGCCAACTCATTATCACCCATCCATTTCATATATTAAATTCATTTATATATTCGGCGAGCAAAACAGTCTCTTTCGAGACTAAAACTCCACTGAGATCACCGCTTGTTGTGGCATTCTCACAACCCAGTGGAGCCCCACCTTCNTTTTAGAAATTATTAAGGAAAAACCAAATTCCTTTTTTTTTAAATCTTATTTTGTTTATAACAATCGCAATTTTTTATGTGCTAATAAGCCCTTAAAAAACATTTTTGTAGACATCATTCCGCATCCAATGAGCTATCGTACATATTTTTAGGAGCTTTATGTCTATTTAACACGTTTTTGAACTTGTTGACTAGACTATAAAAACCTTCCCGAAAGTGTTCGAAAATTGCACAAAGTTTGAATTAATAGATATGCCAATTCAAAGATCAGAAACAGAGACTCAATTTAGAAATTCGTTTTTTTTTTTATTATTTATCATTATTTCACATGTTGCTGCGAAATACATTATTGATTGAATGATTTAGTTTAGTTCGATATCCGACGGACTAAAAATAAAATATTCATTCATTTTCGTATATTTTATTTTTACCTTTGTACTAGTTGACCCGGCAGACTTCGTAGTGCCTCAATCGATAAATAAAAGACCTAAACTTTTGTATAAAATAAACTTAAAACAAACAAAAGGAATCCGTCCGACGGGGGACACATCAAAGGAAAAACAAAATTGTTATTTTTAATTAATTCCGAGCATTTTCATATTTATCTACCTTTTAAACCTTCTCTGGACTTCCACAAATAATTCAAGACCAAAATTAGCCAAATCTGTCCAGCCGTTCAGTTTTAGCGAGACTAACGAACAGTAATTCATTTTTATATATATAATAATATATAGATGGTTGGTGCACTGGACTAAAGTTATTCCGTGCACAATCTGAACTATACGCCCACAAGATGCCGGATAGTTGTAAAATAAATCCTGACGATAAAAAATATAAAAGGGACGCATATTATAAGATAGTTTACTCTTTCATAAGTTTCCGTCATAAATGGATATACCGTCATGTGTACATCCGGAGTGCTATAATATTTCCTTCTTCAAGTGAGGTTTGAAAATAATTTGAGCGCGCATCTTTCTCTCTTCCTTTTTTAACCCAGCTTATGTTTATATTCTGTGCGCTTGTGACTCTTCTTTCATAGGTTTCGAGAAACACGCACAAAGTTATTTACTTTTTTTTTTATTGCGGTTGTAGGCAGTCGAGCATACGACCCACCTGATGGTGAATGGTTACCGTCGCCCATGGACTTCAGCAATGCCAGAGGCAGAGCCAAGTCGCTGCCGCGCTGCCTAAAATTTCTACGCTATAGTCACCCATTTTTTTTCTCTTTACAACATAACTATTAATTTCCACAACGATAGTGATAAGTTTACTGCAACGCCTCCATTAAAATTACCGAAATAGTTTCATATAGATTACGATGCTATTGAGAAAACCTCCATTGGAATACGAGGATTTAAAGACAAATGGAGGAATTTGTTACAGATGAATCACAAATTTATAGACAGTAGGCACCGGCTTGGCTTTGCCCCTGGCATTGGTGACGTCCACGGGCGACGATAACCACTCAACATTAGGTGGGCCATACGCTCGTCTGCCTACAAGGGTAATAAAAAAATAAAAAGATGGAACTTAGCTGCGTTTTCAAATTTTGTCGCATAACCAAAAATTGGATTAAATTTCTTACCGCATTTGTTTTTTAAATACATCGCCACCTTTATTTGGGACTATTTATGCGCACTATCAGAAGTCTTAGGCATCGTGGTATCTCTGACATTTTGATATCAACACGAGACTAAGAAGGCTATAAATACGGCAATTAAAACAGATTGATTGGAAATAAGGGAAAATGTTTCTTTTTTACCTTCGCAGCAAATTCATTGCTATGCCAGCAATACAAAAACAATTGTGAAATCTGTCCGATCGAGTACTGTATGATCCAAATCCTTTGAGATATGGTTGTTTCACTCTGAAACGAATGAGAGAAAATTCCTAATTTTATTTTATATGTTTAGAAGATATATTTCTTATACCTTTAATAATTGTCTTAGAAAAATTACATAGCATTGTGGTCTCGATGGAGCTTTATCCAGATCGGAATTGATAATTATGGAATGTTCAGATTTTGAAATGAATAAGGAGTTCACGTTNGTAGCAACAAATAAAGTACTTTTTCCCTTTATTGCTCTGAGAACTAACATCGTTTTGTTTTATTTATTTTTGCTTCTTGAAATTTCGATTTCTGTTTACTACAGGAGGTAAGGGAGTCGCGTTGAACACTAAAATAATTTATTAATGAATAAAAGCAAAAGTTTAGTTGTTTACTTTTTATGTTTTGGAAATTTATGTTTGTTAGTACATATCTATACATTATTTATTATTTTATTAGCGTTGCGTTTTTGTGTAATATATATTTTTATAGTATATTTTTAAGTTTTCGCGACCAGTGCACATAATAAAACAACGTTTAAACGGTTTCAAGCGCGGTATTTTTATTACAATGTTTCGGCCACGTTTCAGTAGCCGTGAGCACGGAAGACAAAGATGTCCAGTGTCAATGAGCGGAGATCTTAGCTGGCTTATAAAAGTTATCTCTTGTTTCTCTGGCGACAATCGAGATCCATTCTGCACACGTGATTGCTAGGAAAGCTAAAATAAAAAAGGAAAGCTAAGTATCTCATGAGAGTCCAAAAAACAGACAAAAAAGCAGCATTAACCAATTTTAACCAACTAATTTTGAAGTACATCTAACAAATTTTAAAAAATTATTAAAACACAAGTCTACTCCGTGCGTTTACTGTTCTGTTAAACAAACGTTTGTCCATGTGTTGGCCGAGCCTTGGCCAACATTTGTAGCGGTGGCTAAAAATCGGTAATTTTGTTCAAAATTTAATATTATTTATTAGTTTAAAGCCTAAAATATAGTTTATACTTCATGTACTTACCGAAAGTAAGATACTTCAACCGTTAAATTGCTTTTTCGGGCATTATTTTTGCAACTTTTGAATACACACTGCGGCATTGTGAGACGGGTTGACATTGGCTGTGTTTGAAGTGAACTAAACAAAATAACAGCTCACATTTCAAGTGAGCTGTTATTTGCCGAGACGGATTTTCTGCACCGACCGTGTATCTAGTTACTATTGTTGATCGAAGATACAGAAGAACCAAAGGCCGTTAATGCTCATTCATTCATTCATTTTCAGTCATTCGTTCATGTTCATTCTTTCTTGTTCAGCCGTTCAACTTTTGCATCGTCCTGCTTCTTACTAGATGAAAAGAGGACATCCGTCATCCAATACCAATTAATAATTCGACCTTGTAGTGGATACCTATCATAGAACACAAGATATTTGACAGATGCCTGAATCTCGTTATCGACATTTTCAAGATAAGTTTGTATATAAGACAAGTCCTGAATATTGGGACTGTCGGTCTGCCAATAATTTCAGCCGGTGGAAGATCTTCCTTCTGATGTTAACGTCCCAAAACCTCATGTCTTATGATAGCGAGTCTTGCCCATTTAATGAAATTTCATCAACATATTTTTCAGATTCATAGAGAAATTCATATTTGAAGGCGAATTAGACGACAGGCATACTGAATTCTTCATACGAAAAGACTCTCAGTACGTCAATTGTCAGTCAAAGAGGTATTGGGATAAAGGTTTTCATATAACGCAAAGTATAGCCGTACCGGAATTCCTAAGGCCCCTAGCAAAGTTTATATTGCTGTGCGGAAAATCTCTGAGACTATTGAAATTGTGCAATCCTAATGTAAGTGCGATTGAATATTTTGACTTTACAACCAAATAGAACTAAGGCACGGAAAATTGTAAAAAATAAAATACGAAATGAAACCGAAAAATTAGTTTTAATTATGTCCAAGTCTGGCCAAAACCAAAGACAATACTGGTTAGTAAATGGTGGACAGTAATTTTATCGGTCATTCTTAATAGTTACAGATTATGTTTAGGCATGCTGTCATCCACTCTTTCGTTTTTTTATGATCCTAAAATCAATGCAAGTAGCTTGATAGAAAATTCCAGCACAAAAATTGAAACAAGCAGTCGTATCACCTTCACTTACTGATGGTAGAACGTAATGTGAGTTCGTACGGGTAGGTACCACCACCTTGTCGCATGTCTCAAGATGGATGGCGGCATTTACGTTGTTGATGTCTATGGGCTCCGGTAATTAATGGGCAGAGAGCTCATCCAGCCATCTAAGCAATAAAAATATCTCAATAGAAGAAAATAAGAAGTTAAATCAATCTTATAGGTTGTACAAACAGTGCTTAGTGTTTACCAATTCTCCATGTTTTTAGTAGGATAGCGAATGTAGTCGCAGAGTCTGAAATGAAGTTTCTCAGTTTCCTGAGGTATTTATGATATAATTCATAATTACTATAATTTTGATACTAGTAGAAGCAAATCGGAGAGGTCGTCCGCGAATACCCGTATCTCTATGATAAATAGACACATTGCTATGGTAATGACCGTTATAATTATCGTGTGAGAAATTTATTATTATTATTAGGACTAGTGTTCGCTCTATGATCGAAAATCGATAGTAATTATTTCACACTGCACGATTTAGATTTATTTTATGTGCTACATGTTCTGTTTTAGTTTTGGTACCGTTTAAAAAAAGTTGACTGCTGACAAATTGTGGAGAAAATGATACTCAACTGATTATTTATGTAACAGCAAAAAAATATGATTTTATTGTAAAAAAAGCGTGGGGTAGTTTTCAGGATATTATCAAAATAACCCTTCTACTCATATCTGTTCATAAAATATCACTGATACCATGCACCCCACGCTTTTTTTGCAATAAAATCATTTTTTCTTACACTATTTTTAATTAAAATTTATTAAGATTTATTTTCTATTATTTAGTGAGATTTTCTATAAAAGCGTATTTTGTTAGTTTTTTTAAAGTATTATTTATTTTTTAGTTGAATTTCAATTTTTTTTTAATATTGAATTATCATCGGTCCTTAATAAGTATACGAAATTTCGAGTTAATCCGCTGTTTTAAAGGGGGTTAAAATCATGTTCAAAGATTCCGTTACATACTAACATACATACGTCTGAAGCTAATAAAAGCGTATTAATAATCAAAATTTCATTTGCTAAATTAATGTCAAATAAAAAACATCGTTGTATGGTGTATTTCAGGATCCACTGATCCTGTTAATATCATCAGATCACCCCACAGTTAAAACTTGCGCGAACTTCGAAGAACTAGAACGTCAACAGCAAATGTTGGACGTGTACCGCACTAGGTGTCTGTTCGTATGCGGAGACCCGGTTACCTTCGAACAGATCATGCTAAAGAGAGACGCTGAAAGGAAAGCGTTTACCGAGATGGCTTCTCTGAAACAAGCCGAAACCATGGAGAAAATCGTTGGTAAGTCAGCTGAGCAGTTTTTATTGACGTCAATTTTTTTGATGCTTGTAGTATTACAGGGTGTATAAAATTTGTTTCTATAGTCGGCGCTGTCTATTCCCAGCTCGGTGCGCCGTGAGGTGATTTACTTTAGCCACTCTTGCTTCATACTGTATGGTAGGTAATGGTAAGCAGCGGCTTGGCTCTGCCCCTGGCATTGCTCACGTCCATGAGCGACGGTGACCACTTACCATCAGGTGGGCCGTATGCTCGTCTGCCTATAAAGGCAATAAAAAAAACTGCGGAATCCCCATAATGGCAACTTATTTGAACTTTTATTTTATCGCCTATGATAATGTAATATTTCGGATCTTCAAACGACACTCTTACCACTCCTTTGGATGTATTATTTTTAGCTGAACGAAAACGTCTAGCACAGTTGATAGTAGCAGAAAAGCAGCATTCCCTCCGAGTGCTCGAGGCAGCTATGGCTGAAGCGAAAGCTGCTAAAAGAAAAGCCCAGCGCCCGGAAAAAGTGCTCAGTGAATTAGAAGTAGCAGCAGATAAGGCCGCCGAAGAGGTAGATTCTAAACTTAGAGACGATGAAAGGTAAGGCTAATTTATACCAGGCACGTACCTAACATTTGTTAACGAAAGTTTTCCACTTACGACGAAAGAATAACAACATCTAATAAAAATAAAAACTGCAAAGCCGTTAGAAGTGAGAACATTTAAAATTTGTGTAATAACTAGTTGTCGGGCGTGCTATAACCTCACGCGAGTAAGTAACACTATTCTGCCTATTTCTCATCCGAAGGAGTAGCCGTTATACATTATAAATGAGATTCCGATCTCATATCTGAGGATATCAATGTATTAAAAAAATCAATTCGAATTATTGCTAAATATGATTTATAATGTTAACCAAGATTTGATTAGCTGAATATTTTATTGTACCTAATCAAGAAAAAAACAATTAACAGGGACAAAATAATGGAGTATTATTCGAAATTGAATATGGAGGTTGAAAAAAGTAAAATGCACACCGAATGGAAAATCAAACGTTTGCAATTAGATCAAAGCAGAATGCAGCTGCTCTCTACCGAAGAGAGAAATTTAAAACGAGAAAAATTAGAGTTGGAGCATCAGAAGAACGAAGAAATCATGGCTATGTCAATACAGAGCTTCGACCCTAAATCCGAAGACGAGATAGAAAGTAAAGTTGATGATAAGAATGTCGAAGATAAAATGTCTATATCCACCAATTCAGTGACTATGCTAGAAATCGATGAAAGTCCTCAACCAACTGAATTCACTCAGAATAAAATGAAATCTCAAACGTCTAGTGATGTATTCAACGCTATTTGTAACGTCGCAAAGAGCTTTTTCGGTGTCACGAAACGGGACGATAGCAAAAATGATGATAATACAAAGGAATTGGATTCCCAAGGCAATGTTGTTTCCGAAATTAATTCAAACAGTGCAAGGAAACATCAGTACGATGAACATCAATTGGCCGAAAATAATTTGCAGTATATAAAGTCACGGCAGGAAGCCTTTTTGAACAAACAGAAAGTTATGGCTCACGAATTCGGCCAAACGGATAACGAGAATAACCAATTGAATGATCCTCCACTGATCAATGTCATTACTGTGGACGAAGAAAATAATATACAAGATGATTCGCGCGCTTTCGTTGAAGCGAAACGTAATAAATTAAAAGTTCTCGGAACCGAATTCGGAATGAAGCCAGACGAGAAAGTTATTAATACAGGACCAAGAACGGACGCTCAAAGGGAAGCCCTGATAAACAAGCAGAAAGTGTTAGGCGTTGAATATAATTTGCCGGCCGAAGTATTTCACAAACGCGAACCAGCAAACGTAGCTCAAGAGGAGGCCCTGCGTAACAGAACTAAAGTGCTGACATCGGACCAGGAAGCGAACAAACCGATCAGTCCAAAACGCGAAGCCACCAAACGATCCGGCCTCACATTGAATTTGAAACCTTACATTGAAACTGTTAAAGTTCAGAACGTTTCTACACCTAATCTAGGATCTATAACTCCCGGAGATCTATTTCCTCGTGTAAGTATCTCACTGTACTTTAGTGTGAATTTTAATTGTAAACAGAATAATCAAATATGAAATTGTTATATTGCAGCTTGATTTAGAAACACCGACCACAGCGGACATACCGCCAGAAGGGCCGATGACTGGCGACGTTTTCACACCCCGAAGTGACGGAAAAGACCTAGAAACTACTGGAATAAAATGCAAAGTTGATAAAGAATTTATCACTTCAGAAGGGTTTAACTTCCCTGTACTAGATGACGAGTCTGTCGGGCCGGAGAATACTAGCGATGGACAAACTGAGGAATTTGTGGAAACCTCTCCGACTAAAGGGACGGATATCGAAGTCGAAAGTATCAAAAACAAATATTCATTTTTCAACATACTCGATGGTTCCTATGATCTCGATGATTTTGATCCTTTTGGTGTGAAAGAGTTAACGAAATATTCAAAAGATCCTTTCACTAGTAAAATGGATTTAGAAATGAAAAGCTCAAGCTACACCCACCCTGCTCTTATAATGGAGGAAGTGAAAAAGAAACCATATTCGAATATATTTTTGACCCGCTCCGATGCCAAACATAATGACGCCAGTAACATATCATGTGATAACATAGCAACACTGACAGCGTGCCTGCAACGTTCTGTAATGTTGCCACTAACGTACCAGCTAGAAGTCGTTAATAATTCTATTTTGACGTACTTCTTGGTCAATCTGGACATATACGAGCATTTGAGGAGTTTGAAGGATTACTTCTTTCTGATGGACGGTGAATTTTCTCGGAGCATATGTCACAATCTGTTTAGTAAATTATCGAAGACGTTAAATCCCCAGGAGCTTTTGAATTTTGCCACGTTACACAATATCTTGGACAAGGCACTCGGTTCGTCTATATCTCGTAAGTTGAGTTTCTCGTTTGTTCTGTCTTCCATATAACCGATCTCATTATATCAATATGGCGTGACTACTCTCCGAATCTTGCCCACGCAGGAGCGAGTCACCGTCGATGCCATAGACACGTCCTTATGGATCCATCAGATCCAATAACTCTTGCATTAGACGCCTTCAGCTCTAACGCTTAGGGACCCCGGTAACCGTACTCGTCGAACTCGACAAAGGGTTCGACTTCCAACATAACCTAAAAATCAGCCCGCTGAGTTTCTTGCCGGATTCTGACTGAGCATTTGCTCGACCATCTGTCCTGATGAAACCGGAAAGGCCTTTGGGCGACCAGTAATCCTTTCTACCTAAAAAATATCAATGCGGCTTTCGCCTTGTGCTAACACAAAATGCTTCTTTTTGTTTAAATCGCTCGACAAGTGAAAGAAATGTACTTGGAGTAAGTTTTGCGTACAATCAACGTGTATAAGTCAATTGCAAGTTGATTGCAGTGCATAAAAAATACCTTGCTTATTTAAGATAAGTACAATTTGCACAAAAGCACGGACACACTCGTAGTGTTATGTAAATTTTGTTGTTAATTGGACGAGAGTATAACAATAATATTTCGAATATTTTCTTCGGTATACGTGACACGTAGACATAATTAAAACTAATTTTACGATTTAATCTAGGTTTTTTTCTTCCTAATAAATTTTTTCGACGCTTACCCGAATACCTCATACTTTTCGAAGTAGTGAAAAGTAGTTTTAATTATAATGTTACGCGCTGGGCTTCGGGATAAATAAACATTCTACCGATTATAGTCGATACGACATTCCTAGACTTATCGAGTATATACAGGGCAAGTCGAGTAGCTTTGATGTGTGTTTCTGCTATCTGACAACAGATGGCGGTGTACTTCTCGATTTTACTAGTTAGTACCTTCGGTATTCGTTCGGCTATTCGGCGATAGATGGCGTTACTTTTACAGGCGTAATAATTATATTTATTTTTTTAATTGCTTTCAGATATTCATAAATTTTCCGAGAACGTTTCGTTTACAATAACCGAATCTCCTCTAAGTTTCCAACACAGCTCCCCCGACGTACTCCAATGCTTGTCCTTGACGTATACGGTCACGTGGCCGCTGAACATTATCCTGTCCCAAGAGGCATTGTTGCGCTACGCCAAAGTCTTCCAGTTTTTGGTCAAAATGAGGAGGATATCCTGGGTGCTCGGAGAAGATTTTGAGGTATCATTTATGGTTGTGTATTTAAAAGAGATCACTTTTAAATGCTCCTATTTTTACTTATAAGTAAATCGTGTCATTATTTCTAGATTGTTACTATTTATATCTTTATTTATTTAAAGGAGAGTAAATTGTAACAGATTACGTAAGAAAAGTTATTGTCTATACAAATAAATAAAATTGAAGTGTCTGTTTGTGATATTAAAATAACCGCTTTTTACTACATGCATATGAATGTATATACGGTATATATACCAAGTAACTTTTTTTACAATTTTTGTCTGTCTGTGTGTTCCGGCTAATCTCTGGAACGACTGTACTGATTTTGACGGAAGCTGATGTACAAAGGAGTAACTTGGGCTACTTCTATTTTAGAAAAAATCTAAAATTATTATAAAATAATGTTTTATTAAATTTCGCGCAGACGAAGCCGCGGCCACAGCTATATAGTATAAAGCTATTATATAGCACGAGTGAATCTGACCATTGGTTACCGGTCATCGTCCTTGTCGAAGCCGTCGCTTGCGACGAAGAGCTCGACGAGCGAATTAACCCACAGACACAGCCCACTGAGTTTCTCGCCGGATCTTCTCAGTGGGTTGCGTTTCCGATCCGGTCCTAGGGTCAGTGCTAGCATTACTCCGGCTTGAGCCCCGTGAGCTCACCTACTAGTTAAGGTTACGCTCAAGGCTATCTATCAGCTTAGGTAGAAAAAAATAATATTGGAATTACTCATTAATTGTTAGCGCGTGTAACAATGCCCGTTGTCGGTTACAGAATCTGAAACTGGCCGTGAAACTTTCGCGGGAGCACTCCCGGAGGCTGTTGCGTTCGCCTCACTACATCTCGATACAAATTTACCGGCACATAATGGCGTCCATGGTCCGCGCGCTCGACAACTACATCGTGGCGACGTGCATCTTGTCCTCGTGGACCGAATTCGAGAATGATTTGAAGAAAGCGAGAACTCTAGACGACCTATACGAATGTCATGTCGTTTACATAAAAAAAGTTTTGTTCAGATGTCTACTGAACAACAGGTCGACGCCCGTAATGAAGTTGTTGAATGATATGTTTACGGTTATCCTCAAGTTTAGCAGAGTATTAAAGGCGGGGTGAGTTTGTTTTTTTAATATAATTGTGTAGTGATTTTATGTTTTGATCTGTAGAGATATAATGATGAAAGGAAGATCGTCCACAAATATTCCTTGTTCGGAACTTGTATATGATACTTGTAGATTCAGGCTTCTGTAAAATATCTTATGTTCTTAGTGCGAGTGTTTAACGTTCTCGATAGCGTAAAAGTTAACCCAATTTTGTATGCAGTTGCAACAGCGCCCCTAGCGGCAAACGTACGCAAACGATCCTATTCCATACAAATATGAGCTAACTTTTACGCTAACGAGAACGTTAAAAAACTCGCACTGAGCACACTGTTATGGCTATCGCCACAGATCGGCCGTTACAGGACGGTTCGGAATCTTTTAACACGTAATAAAAGCGTTTGTTAAAACTAAATTAAATTTTTGAGATTGTTAGCGTCGATTTGAAATAATGTTAACCCACTCATTTAAATGAGAGGTTTGTAGACAAATTCATTATGCTATTTAAATTAGTGTGAATCCACTAGAAGTTAATTTACTTCGCAACCATGTCAGAAGGTTTTACTCTCGTATCTTGCAATTGTACGCTTTTTTGAGTATTTGGACGCTTAGTAATCCTCTGTTGATTACACGTTTAAATCGGAAGAAATACGAAATTAAATAATAAAAAATTAACGACATCCAAAAGTCCTTCTTCAAAAGACAATCTTAATGGTTGTTCATAAGGAGCTTAAAGCAAAGGAATACGTTTCAAACAGCCTTGTCAAACAATTTTAGTTGCTTTTAACATCCAACTTCTTACAATGTGAACCGTACTTCTTTCAGGGAATGGCAGGAGAACAATTCGAACGCATATTTCACACACTCAAGTTTTGTACAGCTCGAAGAATTGTTCCATTTGTTCGAGAAACTAGCGAAATATCTTCACAAAGTGGTCACCAAGTTAATGGAGTGCGGGTATCAAAGGCATCTCGTGGAACTACTCATTATGACCAACCTGAACGGATATTACAACTCTGATAAGCCCAATAACACGACAGTTCAGTCCACGTAGTGCATTTTGGTTATTAACGAATCTACCCACACTAATGTGATTTAGCAAAATGCACCTTATGACTAACAAGCGAAGGCTCATTATCGCTCTGAATACTGTTGTAATAAAACAGGACGTTGTTCGGGTCAAGATTAGAATTTTCTCAAAGCACAACAAGACTGTTGATTCGTTAAAAGACTGTGTTTTTTGTATTTAATTTATAAGAAAAATGTATGTTCTTGATATGTCCTTTTTAAACGCGTTGATAGCTTGTCGAGGAGTCTCTGGTTGGGTTGAAAGCTTTTTTGATGGTCCTGGACCACTCGACGAGTTCACAACTCTTCAGCGTCATCATCATCAGTCCGCTGACGTTGGCTGCTAGATACAGACGTCTCCTAGGCTTCACCATAATGGACGGTACATGTCGTGGCAGACATACCCGTGGTGAATCTGTTCTACAAGTAACTTACCCTGCCACTGCTACATCTTGAAATCCTTTGGGCTTTATTGGTGACCTTGATTTTCTTGCGAATCTCTTCCTGATTGGATTTCGAATGGAAACTCTAGCTTTCTTCTATATTGGCCTTTAGGTGACTGTTTGCCTTGTGATAAACCCTTCTGTGAGCGACCATGTCATTAATGGCAAGTCACACTGCCTTGTGATAAACCCTTCTGTGAGCGACCATGTCATTAATGGCAAGTCACACTGCCTTGTGATAAACCCTTCTGTGAGCGACCATGTCATTAATGGCAAGTCACACNAGGCCGGCCGACGGGTCCGCCAAGCGGCGAGACCACGCCTCCAGCACGGACCGCCGAGATTGGAGCCTCCGCGCTCGAACTACTCCTTCGCCGGGGCGCCCTTCCCCCCTAGAACGAAGGTCGCTTCGCCACCGGTAATCGGCAGCGAGCGCCTCCGCCTCCAGGTCCCAGGGTGGCGCCCCGGCGAGCAAGCACGCCGCCTCGAAGGAAGCACGCCGCCTCGAAGGAGGAACAGCGCCCCTAGCGGCAAACGTACGCAAACGATCCCATTCCATACAAATATGAGCTAACTTTTACGCTATCGAGAACGTTAAATAACTCGCACTAAGCATACTGTTATGGCTATCGCCATAGATCGGCCGTTATAGGATGGTTCGGAATCTTTTAACACGTAATAAAAGCGTTTGTTAAATCTAAATTAAATTTTTGTACGTATTAGATTGTTAGCGTCGATTTGAAATAATGTTTACCCATTAATTTAAATGAGAGGTTGGTAGACAATAGATGGATTATATCTTCGGTAATCCTGCTATTTAAATTAGTGAGAATTCACTAGAAGTTCATTTACTTCACAACCATGTCAGAAGGTTTTACTCTCTTATCTTGCAATTGTACGCTTTTTTGAGTATTGGACGCGTAGTAATCCTCTGTTGATTACACTTTTAAATATGAAGAAACACGAAATTAAAGAATAAAAAATTGACGACATCCAAAAATTTACGACATCCAAAAGTCCTTCTTCAAAAGACAATCTTAATGGTTGATCATAAGGAGCTTAAGGCAAAGGCATACGTTTCAAACAGCCTTGTCAAACAATTTTATTTGCTTTTAACATCCAACTTCTTACAATGTGAACCGTACTTATTTCAGGGAATGGCAGGAAAACAATTCGAACGCATATTTCACGCACTCCAGTTTCGTACAGCTCGAAGAATTGTTCCATTTGTTCGAGAAACTAGCGAAATATCTTCACAAAGTGGTCACCAAGTTAATGGAGTGCGGGTATCAAAGGCACCTCGTGGAACTACTCATTATGACCAACCTGAACGGATATTACAACTCTGATAAGCCCAATAACACGACAGTTCAGTCCACGTAGTGCATTTTGGTTATTAACGAATCTACCCACACTAATGTGATTTAGCAAAACGCACCCTATGACTAAAAAGTGAAGGCTCATAATCGCTCGGAATGCTGTTGTAATTAACCTGCATTAAAAAAGAGTTCGTTGTTCGGGTCAAGGTACATGATTAGAGTTTTCTCAAAAGCACAACAAGACTGTTGATTCGTAAAAAGACTGTGTTTTTTGTATTTAATTCATAAGAAAAATGTATGTTCCAAACTGACAGACCACTCTTGATATGTCCTTGTTAAACGCGTTGATAGCTTGTCGAGGAGTCTCTGGTTGGGTTGAAAGCTTTTTTTATGGTCCTGGATCGGTCGACAAGTTCACGACTTCAGAATCATCATTATCAGTCCGCTGACGTTGGCTGCTAGATACAGACGTCCCACAGGCTTCACCTATCCGTGGTGCATACGAGTAAGTACGAGTAAGTAAGAGTGCTTTACCGAGTGCCACTTGAAATCCTTTGGCCTATGTTGGTGACCTTGGCTCTCTTGTGAATCTCTTCCTGATCGGATTTCGCAGGGTAACTCCAGCTTTTTTCTATATTGGCCTTTAGGTGACGGTATGCCTTCTGATAAACCCTTCCGTGAGCGACCATGCCATTAATGGCAAGTCACACGATGCACCTGATATTAACACTAATCATACCAACACTTACTGGTACTTATTTCTACCATAGCAGGTAGACAGCGGTATGCGACAAATATTACTCAAAATAAACAAAACAATACCAAAAAAATAGTATAATAATTGTAGATTAAGAAAGAAAAAGTCATGAAATGAAATGTGCCAAAGCAGATGATGCGTGCATTTTTAATGAAAAAGTTCAAAATTGGTCATTTGACCCGTTATGGTATGTTCAATGTTAAATGGTTACCATAGACAGGATATGAGAACGTCTATATAGTAAATGCTACTAATTAATTACCTTGAGATATGAAGTCCTATTCTCAACTCTATAACGACAGTATATTTCGAACTGGAACGCATGATTTCTTCGCGGCAGATAAAGGTAGGACGCCTAAAAACGTGAGAGAATTTCTCGTGTAAAAAATCTAAGACTTTTTTGGTGATATTATTTTATGAGTTAGTAATGTAATGTGCTGGCGTGCTCTCTATATAATAATTAAATTAGATCTAATATAAGTTTGCCACCAAACAAACCAAACTCTGGTTGCAAATAGATTATTACAGTTTTGCTTTAATTGTTAAAAGAAACTTGGTGTTGCTATGAATCTTATATAAAGTTAGTCTTAATTAGTTAAATTAGTTGATTAAACAAAAAAGAGCATGTAGTTAGTAGGTGCTCTGCCGTGTTTCGGTTCAAGATTTTCAAAACTAATCTTGGAAAAAACTAACAATTTTAACAAAACAATAAGTATAAGTATAAGAGTTTAGAACATGCTCTAACTCAAAACGTGTTTTCACTATAGCGTATATATTGTGCTAGCTTTTCTGTTCAAAATATCAATTATTTTTATTTATGTTAATACTTCAGTAGCGATAATAGTATAACAGTTGCATTTTTATGTATTATATAGAATACAGTTGTTACTTATTTGTGAAGAGCTTTTTAGTTAACAACGATCGTCTCAAGAAGATTAAAAATATGATTATATTTAATTCCATAGAAGATGTAAATTTCGAAAACTCGTTGTTATGGTTTAGATTGTTATATGTTTCTGTTGCTTTTGAGTTGACAAGAATATATGTTATTAGTAAGTATGAATGCTAAATACACCTTGTTTACATCATGAATAGTGTTGTTCTAATTGTTATTTTGTGTCAAGTTAAATAACTGGCATTTCAGATATGCGGTAAAAGCAAAAATACAGTAAATTGTACGCCTTACTTTGTGAATGACATAAATATGTCATACAAATTCTATTAGTCTTTGTTAAGCAAAAAAAAAGTCGAACGTAAAATAAACTTTTACTGAAACAAACGAATACTAAATTAATATACATTACATATTACACTAATAAAAATAATTTAAGTTTTGTAGGTTCTAATGCTATTTATTTCTAGGTTTTACTTTGCTTAATGTAAAGACGGTGCAAAAACATTTAATTTTTTAGTTTATCAAAATAATAAGGTGTACAAACTAAAATAAAAAATATATTTTTTACGAAATCATGTGTATTTACACAAATAAAAATATAACAAAATATTATACAACTTTACAAATTGACATGGTACAAATTTTATTAATTTAGTTTAAAATAATTGTCGATGAATGAATCTGATCCGTTCCCACCAATCTTGTGATAGTTTTTAATTTATGTTTTTATTGAAATTAAGCTATTATTGCCATTAATTCTGCTTGAATAAAGTATTAAAATATAAAAGATTGTTTTCCTTTTTACATTTCTAGATACCTATTCTGCAAAGTCATGTTTCATTTAACCAATAAGTTTTTTTTTAAATTAGAATTTAACTTTACAATTAGTAATTCTTTCTTATAAATTTATTATAGTCGAGATGTTGAGATCTCATGAAAATGAAAACCAGGATATGAATCCGTGTAAATTATATTTAAAAAAGTCGTCTCGTCTTTATGACTGGGACTAAGGAATTATGGGTGAATGTTTCAAAACAATTTATTTTGAGGTTTCTTAGCGCCATCTTTTGGTGATTGTACTTACTATTAACACAGACATCTAGTGTCGGATAGACAGACTAAACTAATCTACCATTTTACGTTTTACTGTAAATATATATAAGTCGTCACAGAATTTATTTTAATAATCAACCTTATGATATTTTTGTCGGCTTGGTATGTCTGCTACAATTCATTAAAAACAACAGGGAATCTATTATCTGGTATTATCTAGTGGGACTATTACCCGGCAGTTTCCTTTTATAACCGCATCGACAGTAGCGCCACTATTTTCTTTATATTCAGGGTGTCTTTTCACGAATACCTCATTCTACTGTAATTCGTCCTAGGGTGAACATTTAGCCTAAGCGGTTCAGTGAATGTGACATTGAAGTGAAAGCCGCAGCTTACACAGTAATACTTTGCTTAATCCAAGAAAACTCAAGTTTGACCTATAAATTTCTACAGAAACCTGAAATTTTCCTGAAATATAGGCATTCAGTGAAAAAGAAAATTAAAATCATTATTGATCGTAAAGCTAATTTACGCGAACATATTTTGTTTCGTCTCAACGGAGGCAATTTCTCTAAAAACGTTCCAACAAAAGAGTCACCGCCACCTTCGCCGAGATGGCGTTCATGATGCCAGTAGTGAAGAACGATTGGGACATATACAACTCTCAAAGGTCCCGTCGAGCCTCAGAATCGGCGGAGAAGGCGGGGTTCAACGTGGGAGGCAGGGTGCGGAAAATATCGGAGTCACGCTCCGAAGGCCCGGCGTTGTCACCACGATCGGCAGGGCTCAGTCCTCACCGCAGCGCTCCGGCGATGCGCTCGTTGTCGTACTGTCGCGCGCCTCACTCGCGAGTCTCGCTGCGTGCGGCGCCAGACAGCCCCAGCAAGGGTTCGGGTAGTCCGCCGGGAGGAGCGCGCGAGGAGAAGTTCCACAGCAGGTTGGTGGAGAAGTTGAAGCGGGCGCTCGGGCGCTCGGAGTCGCGGCGTGAAGAGAGGAGCTCATGAGTTAACCCGTGCTTGTGTGCAGGGCGCGCGCAGAGTCACCGGAGCGACACTCGCGGTGCGGAGCGTGCGTGCCCTACCTGTGACGGTGAACCGTCGCGCCAGCGCCGCCACACTATCTGTGATATGTTCCCGATAGTGAATTCCGAGTTGAGTAGACCATTGAATGTGCTCACTAACCGCCCATCGTGTTGTGAACTGGAAACCCTACCGTCTGAATAAATCAATACGATAGTTTCAGGAATTTCCGTCACACTTCGGTTTGCTTGCTTTGATTGCTGCATGTCTGTCTTTATCGTACCAGGTTTTCAGTATTAGATTGTAACAGGACTGTATGTTGTATGAATTTTAAGACTGCGTTTAGTTTAGTTAGGCCTTTGACTTGAAGTTTTATTGTGTGACATCGTTTCGAAGGTCGTTTAGAGTTTATGGCAGTTCGCGAGGGGTATCTGTGATTTGTTATGCGTAAGTTCGTTCAGCAATTATTTTACGTCGTAAAAATATAAATTATTTGTTGAATATAATTAAAAAAAGATGCAAAGATTTGTTACCAAAATTCACCATTAAGCCAAGAAATTTAGTAGCTGACTTATGAAACAAATGATTGAGTTTGTATGAAATAGTGGTATATTTATCTAATACATACTTACTAAATAAGTGAAGTATTAAGTAATTTATAAATTAATTTACATAAATAAACTGTCGATATTTGCGGTAGGCATGATTTAGATTGAACAGGGTTCGGACTCGGTTCAGTGAAAACGGTATTACTATAACAGTTTTTGTTTGATTTGTATAAGTTTTTAAATTAATGTTCAGGAACCAGCCTTGTTGAAGCTTAAATCTGTCAGTTTAACTGAAATATTTAGTGAAATATTGTCTATTATGGTGACATCTGTGAGATGCTGTAGGTTCGATTTTTTTTAAATAAGAAAATTGTTTTATAAAGTTCCTGAATTTGGACTGCCATATAATGTTTTAAAATAATAAATAATTCTATCAAAATTTTTATGTCGTGCTGTAATGTAATTCTGTTACATTTGTATACTACATGTCTACGTCTGATGTTTGTACATAAGTTTTTGGATTCATTTGTAAATACAACTCTCTATTTTATGAATGTAAACGCAGCATAGTTCACAAGATCTGATTGTATGTACATCGTAATAATATTTAATAAATGGCTTAAAACTGACACATCTGTTTTATTCAAGGTCACTGGAACCTACGTTGTTTTTGAAGATACTTAAAAAATTAATATTGAGCGAGTTTGGCTTTGAACTTGTCTTATTTATAGTTAAATTATTTCTACGATTGCAGCCAAGTATTCGTCCGCGACCACGTGTTGGATTGGCGTTGGTACAAAAATAATTCGACTATTCAGTACATTTAAATTCAAATGAGATAGAACAACCGTCATTGATCAAACCTATATTTATTATCAAGATTCATTATTACTGCAAAACTCTCGGCAGACGACGACGCGCAAATAAGGTTGAAACATTATTAGGGAAATTTTCGAATTAATCTATACAGGAATACGACCATTGATTAGCGGGCTGTTTGGCTGTTATGTTAATTACAATCGATCTAATTTAAATACGTAGTCGGAAGGTCTGATTTTGCGTTTGAGAGATTTCTAAAATAAAGCATTTTCGTGTGATTGTGTCAATATAATACTTATTTAATCATAAATTCTCATTACTGTGGAAGTCAAATAACAGATTGACAAATAACCTAACTAAACAGAACGCGAATTTCATTTTGGTACTTCAAAATTACGAAGAGTCTAACGAATAAAAAATAAAATACTATGTATAGGTACTAATTTTTATAGGTATATTACTTTATTCTGAAGTTTGTATGCAGCGTGCGTCATGCTTGATGCTACTCAACTACACTGTAGAGGCGAGTTCGATCAATAGAGGGGTTCGCCTTTCCAGAACGTTCTTGGTTGTACCTACCGTGTACTTTGTGTGACGCTGTGCAACACGGCACATCAATTTAAACTGTATTCTTCAATGTAGACTACACTTTAAATTTGAACTTTTTTTTTATTGCATAGATGGGTGGACGAGCTCACAGCCCACCTGGTGTTAATTTGTTACTGGAGTCCATAGACATCTACAACGTAAATGCGCCACCCACCTTGAGATATGAGTTCTAAGGTCTCAATATAGTTATATCCTAACCTCTAGGATAGATCTTGTTTTATAAAATTCGCCTAACAATTAGTGATTATAATAAATAGTATAAAATGCTAAACGAATAATTCAGAGGATTTATTTTTCATGTAAGATAAGGATTGAAATGATTTTAAAGATTATGAATAAAACTACAAAAAAACATAATAATTCGCCAACCGTATTGGATTTAATGTTTTTTAAAAGTGCTTGGTTTCTTTTATAACCTAGACTTAACGGTGGTAGCGTTCACGTTGTTAGGTCTAAGTACCTACTCCGGTAACATCGTAACACTCACTAGTTGAGTCTTTCCCTCTTTTACGCAATCAAAAAAATGCTTTGAGTACTGGTTAGCAGGTATGCGTTTATCGTATTTTCTAATTACTAAAGCATAGAACTCACGCGGTATTTAAGTGTTTTTAAGATATTAAGTACCTAATTATCGATTTAGTTTATGATTTTTTTTTTAAACTATATGAATACCAAAATGTGTCCTTGGAAACGTCGAAAATTGTTACTGAGGGTCGAGTTTCTCCGGTTCTATCTATAAGACAGCAATTTCATTTGGGACGACGACACATTTTCTAACCTATATAAAGCAATTTCACGTGGCACGACGATACATTTTCTAACTTATCTACGAGTATAAAAGAAAGAAGATATATCACACATGACACATTTTCCACGTAAAACTACTTATCTTTCAGCTTGAATGTTAAAACGCCTTTGTCGCTGATAAAGACATTGAAAGTGCTGTAAACTAAATCAATGTAAACAAGTATTACCTATATTTTAATCGGTTTTCGCGATTCGTACATTCCCGATCCTGCGGAAAAAATGGAAAGCAGTCGACGTCGCCCCAAACACGTCATTTTGGATCCTCCCGATCCACTAACGGTGCTTTTAGGTACCTCAGACACAGCCCACTGAGTTTCTCGCCGGATTTTCTCAGTGGGTCGGGTTTCCGATCCGGTGGTAGATTCTGCGAAGCACGGCTCTTGCTAGGGTTCGTGTTAGCAACGTCGTCAGGTTTGAGCCCCGTGAGCTCACCTACTAGTTAAGGTTACGCTGAAATAGCCTCTCAAGGCTATCAGCTTAGGTAGGAAAAAAAATAACGATTCGTAAAGAAATAATTGAAAATAACTTAGGACAGTTTAATCCCGAGTTTTTATTGTTATTACATCGAGGGGTGACAGGGTATTTGGTTTAAGCGAATTTCGCTTAATACGTGACATTTATCTTTGTAATTAAACGTGCGTTTTATTTGGTATTGGCATTGACAGTTCGATGTTTCTAATTGAACTTCAATTAAGTTTACTCCATTCACATACCTGAACAAGTTTTTTTGTTATGATAATTTTTTCCAAATTATACACTTTAAATGGCTGGCCCTGTAAAGCTGCAAAAATGTCGCTAAAGCCAAACAGCGTTTCACCCTTTGATATTATTTCTGACGTTCCCAATATTTTACAGATTTCGTGGTTACGGGCGACTAAGATTTAGTACGTCGGCATTTGAATTTTATGCTAACTAGCGTCTGTTTTTCTATAAAAAATATTTCTCGGTTTTTACGCTTCATTTCACACACGAACTATTCATTACTTTTAGTATTAGGGTCTTGATGTAATGATAAATAAAGAAAACGCATGATTAAATCGTAAAAGTATAATAGTTTTAACAACGTAATTAAGCTCGTCATAGTTGATAAACTGATAACGTTTACAATACGTGAGCATATTATCAGCAATCGATCTGCCGACCGCGTCATGTAACCCAGAATGCACTGATAGTAATTTATCAAGAGAAAGAATAATAGGAAATTTCCGTGACACACGCCTCGAGGTTTTTCATCGGAAATTTTGCGAATGATTAATCGCTTTATTGATACGATAATTAAGATACAAATTCCATAGTTTAATGTTTTTTTCAGGTGCTCTTTTTATCAACCAGCATTTAAGTAATGTTGCAGAATTTTTGAAGTTATACTTCTTTAGGCGCGTTATGAAAAATTGATGAGAGTGAAATTTTACGATGCGCGCGCACCGTGACACAAAATTAACAGAAATGAAGTTGCCCACTAAATCGCTCATTACAATACGACCGACGTAACTTGGCGAGTCTGAATATAGCCGCAGGTGAACTTTCGCGCATGTACACTCGTAAAAAAAGTGTTATTAGCATTCATTTTTTAAATTATTAACGTTCAACATTTATTATTAATTATTTAATATTTAAAATAAAAAGAAATAAATTTAATAAAAATAAAGTATAACTTCTTACGCGCGTACATAAGTACACGCACCCTTTTTTTTTGTTACCATATTCAAGTTACGACGAAATGCGATGATACTATAGCTTATTGTTGACTTTTTGGAATTAAACACAATAACGATTAACCATCGTAGTCGTAAAAGTACAATATAGGTGTAACAATGTACAGTAGTTCATAGATTATCACTCTTGTACATACATATATTGCAATTTCCAAGGTTTCTCGGCGCTGCGTGCGTCGGTTAGAAACTTTAAATCGAGTTAGCGTAATCCTTTTAGCATCGTCCTTTAGACGTTAGCGGATGTTAGCGTAAAGCTGCTCTGAGAATGTAGACCTACATTCAAAAGTTGTCCCATTAGGATAGTAACGATTTTATTTAGGTTAATTTGGTTCGTTACCCCCCCCGGACCGGGTATCCGTAAATGGATTCCCCAGCGTTTTAAAAAAAAAAAAAAAAAGATAGTAACGAATAAATACTCCAATAACACTGACGATCTTCAATTTTTCACAAGCACAAATACTATATTATTATATTCATCGGTTTTCGCGTGTACATAATACCACTTTTACTTAATTAAATTTCGCGTTTTTTATTGTATATATATATTATTTGTTTGTATTTGTTTTATTGTATTTCTTTCATATTTATATTATTTCGGAACTCGCCCGTGACCACGAAAACTGAAAAGTATTCGAAAAATCACAATAATATAGTGACAAAATAAGGCGAGTTCAAATTGTACAATTAGTTTTAATTATGCATAGCCTTCCGTGTAGTAGTGTTCATGATTTGAAAATCTTGGAACCTGGGCGCCATTGAAATGAATGTTTTTCCGCGGTAAACATTTGCTTTCATTTTTGCCCAAAAATTGAAAACGAGAAAGAACAAGTCTGAAGTTTGAAGAACACTTAGAATTAGAATTAAATAATTTTCGATTTTGAACGTATTATACAACCACATCCCATCTTCAGAATTATGTAGCTATTTTATTGAATACTTCATTGGCAGTAATAGAATTACGTCTCCTGATCGATCAATGTATTGGAGCCTCCGAAAATACTTTACAAATTAAACTGTTTGCTTACATTATTACGACGTATTATACGATACGATCGTTACGTCAGTGGAGACCTAAATTAAGACTTTAGATTGAACGTGAAATAGCTACTCCAAGTGAGGCGCACCGGTATTTATTTTCTCAACACATTTGTGATTTGGGGCACTAATATTTAGAAGCTAAACTAGTTGAACTCATAAAAAGCGTAATACTAATGTCCCAAGTGTTTAATAATGTGATTAATTGTGTCACATCGCTTGTTCAGGAGTGGCCGTTAGCGAATGTTTTTCAGGTTTTATAAAAAAATGTTTTTTTTTCATACCCGCTTATTAAGTACATGCTGTTTTTACATTCATTAAGCATTTCGTCGGTAACGGATGATCCGCGAAACTTTAGTAATAAACTAGCTAGCCCGGCAGACTTCGTAGTGCCTCAATCGATAAATAAAAGACCTAAACTTTTGTATAAAATAAACTTAAAACAGAAAAAGGAATCCGTCCGACGGGGGACACATCAAAAGAAAAACAAAATTGTTTGTTATTATATAATTCCGAGTATTTTCATATTTATTCACCTTTTAAACCTTCTCTGGACTTTCACGAATAATTCAAGACCAAAATTAGCCAAATCGGTCCAGCCGTTCTCGAGTATTAGCGAGACTAACGAACAGCAATTCATTTTT